AGCACAGAAACAGTACTATATAACATTTTAGACACATTCTAGACAGTTTATCAGCTAAAAAAAGTTAATTTTGGGGTAAGTTACTCTTTAACCATGAAACCTCCCACACTAAAATGACAGCTGTTTCAGTTTCATTGTCTAACCCCTGTAACTAACAGGTTTCAGAGTTGCCAGGTTGGTGGTCCTGGTGTTCTGTTGCAGCAGAAAGTTTGGATTCCTGCCATTAAACCGCTCAAATCTAATGCACTGGAGTTTTCATTTGAAAGCTTTGAAGTAGACTCAGTCCTCTTAAAGAAATGAAAACACCAGCACAAGAGCTAAAAGATTGGTTAGTTTATCTGCTGCTTAACAACAAAGAAATAAATAACTACAGAATTGTCATTTCTGTAAAAATGCTGAGTGCAGAATGATTTTCCTGTTGAAGAATTTATTAGCAGGGCCGGCCCAAGGCAGAGGGAGTTTAGGCAAATGCTAAGAGCACCCTGCAACTCAGGAGCGCCACAAATGGAGGACAAAAACAATGTTTAAGAATTTATTTTGTTGATTTATTCAGTAGAATAATCACTGTTTCCTCAGGTTTATGAAGGTAACTTGTTATGTTTTGTTCCTACATGAGGTGTATCTGGTGCAGAGGATGTTTCATGATAAAACTGTCATATGATGCAGTCAAGACTACCGATGCTCAGTGAGTAAATAGAAACAAAACAAGGAGAATAGAAGTTTGAGTTCTGATCTCAGATAAAGTTCAGATGAATCTGGTTTTCAGTCTTCTACCTTCATAAAATACTGTTTTTTTTCTTGTTTTATCAATCCTAATAATTTAGAAAAATGCTCTTCAAATGGCTGAAAATGAATAATTTTGAGTCGATCTTTTACCCCTGAACCCCCCTAGAACTGCTTCAGTCCACAGCTGCTGGCTAACATGAACAGGTGTTCCTCATGATGACAGCTGATGTTGGCAGGTTTGAGGAAGACTTCTGGTTTTCTGTTTCAAATGAAATATATTGTTAATTATTTTAACTAGACAACCTGGTTTCTGAAGATAAAAAAAAATTAAAATCAAACAAAACTATTTAATTTGGTCAGGAAATGGTTGTAAATTGGCTGTGAGCTTTAGAAAATGACACAAGGGGGGTCACCAGAAATCTTGGCATCAAATTGGCTAAAACTGGTCCTGATCAAGTGAGACGTTAGGTAGAACAAGCAGAACAGAAGCTAAAACTAGCAAAACACTGGCTAAAAGTTAAGTTAGCCAAAAATGTAGCAAAAGGCTGAACTGTACAATATTACTGATTGATCTAGACATTTTATGTGAATGATTAAAATACAAAAAGTATGCTGAAGTAGTTTGTAAAAAGCTGACAGAGGAAACTAAAGAGGAAAAGAGCAGAGTTGAGACGGTGTCAGTCTCACTTTTGGGCCGTCCTGAAGACTTGCCCTCATCTTTTCACAGAGATGTCACTTTAAATCTTTTTTCTTTCCCACTGATGAAACTCATGAGCAGGAGCTGGCTTGTTTTCAAACACACTCCCTTTCATTTGGATTTAGATTTGCTTCCTGACACTTTGAATTTGGCGTCATGTCAAAGTGGATTGGCTTATGCAAAGAGTGCTGATGTTGCTGTTTTGTGGACATAAGCTGCTGCAGAGAATCCTCCCTGGAAACCTGCAGGAATTCCTTCTTCCTTCTCTGTGTCCTTACTTCCTGCTCTTCAGCACCAACACTGGGTGTTGTCCCAACCAGCTTTATGACAAATGGAAACAGTTCTATGTAATTGTCAGTGATTTCATGCTTCTCTCAGCTGAATTATTCCTTCACTTTATTTTTCCTCCATTAGTGTTTGACATTCTTCCTCTGCTGCACTAGTTTTTCAAACGTAGTCAAAAAAATGCCTTTGTTCGCTGTTTTCATTTTAAAAATCTCTAACTCTCTGCTCTGTGGATGTAGATAATATTAAATTTATATCTCAGCAGTTTCCTAATCCATGTCCAGTGTTACTATACAAACAAATTGATTGCCAGCCATGTTTTTCTGAAGCTTGAAGCCATTTTTACTGTTGTTTTCTGCTGACAGGACATTTTCCTGCCTGTGACTGCAGCAGGTTTTGTGTCTGGATGTTTCCCACTGAGGGATTTCAGTGTGTTATCTGTGTGTGTTTGTGTTGGATCAGACATAAGGCATCAATTACAGATTATTTTACATCTACATCTAATTGTGACTCTGCGTTAGCATCGATCATTGTTTTCTTGGTCATAGTTATTGTCACACACTATTGCACACTTGATATTTTGTCCATTAATTTAAAAAAAGTTCAACTCGTCAGGTGCCATGACCTACATTTTTTTAACTTTTGTATTTTTCAAAATATTAAATTTTATTTGAAGAACAATTCCTCATAGAGCTACACTGAGACCACTTCAGTTCCTTCAAAAACGGTTCTTTTTGACATCTGTTATTTGCTCTTTTTCTTTTTCTATTTTAGCCTTCAAGAACTATTTTGATTATTTTAGCTTTTGGCTACCATTCTGCTACTTTTAGCTGCTTTTCTTCTACTTTTAACAGCTGTTTTGCCACTTTCAGCTTTTAAATGTCGTTTTGTTGGTTTTACCTCTTGACAACAATTCTGCTCCTTTTTACACTTAGCTAAAGTTTTGCTACTTTTAGCTACTATTTTGTTATTTTTTTCATCTGTTTTCTCATGTTCACTACTGTTTTGTTATTTTCCCACAAGAAACACTATTAAATTTGCACAGATCAGGATGAAGTTTATATTCATCCAGCTGTATAAATTCAAATATGATAAACTAAAAGTGATAAAAAGGGAACAGGAACAGAAGAACCTTGTTCTCAATAGATGGTAATTATATTGGAAACAATGCTTTGATTGTTTAAGCTGTACAATAACCGTCCTCCTGTTGTTCTCTGATCGACTTGTCTCTGCTGTTTCAGCTTCTCAGGATGCAGCCCACGACATCGACACTCTCCAGAGATGCAAGGTCGGTACACAGGGATCAATATCACGGGCGTGACCTTGCTTTGCTGTGGTAGCATGTGTAGTGACATGAGATTAGAGGCGGCCATGTAGCCGAGATTTCCAGCAAACCCATCTCGTGCAGTGACAGTTTGGCTCAGCAGAGGGAGTAAATGATTAGAGTCGAGCTGCTCCTCTCTGCAGTGACTGCTCCCAGGCAGGAGAATACTGCTGTCTGTGCAGTCTAAGGATGATGAATTAGAGAGATTACAAACACCTTTACTTCCTGTTTCTGGGCTGAAACGACTTATTTGAGATGTGAGGTTTAAATATTTTCCTGTCAGTCACACATGCAAACTATTTGAACAGATCAAACAACATTTGCTGTTTGGATCGTTTGTGTTTCCAGCAGAACCATATTTTCTTGATATTCAGGATTATAATGTTTCACATTTCTGTTGTTAAATATTCAACAAATCTGCCACTTTTCACAAGTGAAAATTTTAATAAACTGATAAGAATGAACCCACTTTGTTTCCTGTTCACCTGAAACCCTCTCTGTTTATTTAGTGAAGGAGATGACATAAACAACATTCTCATGTACAAAAACTGAATACTCTCAAAGTACTCTAGAAAAACATGATGTCAGTAGCTTTTAACTTTTTATGCTTTAATGGAAAAAATAGTCTAAGGTTTTTCTGTTCAACCCTGGTACCTTGGACATCTCTCCCACCAGCCTTGATTGTCTGAAGTCATATTTTCAACAGTCCTTCATGAATCGGGGGGTATGAGACCTAAACTTCAGGTTCAGTAAAGTCGTATTTGACCAGACTTGACCGAGAAGAAATCATTCATCACAACTCAACTACTTCAAAGTATTCTTTGTTGGGGTCAGTCATGCCTCCTCTACAAATTTATTTTATAATATTAGACTTTTTCACTTCCTGTTTTAAAAACACATTTAACCCAGTGTGAGTTGATTTAGTCCTTTAATGGTACAAGGTTCACAGTATATTTTGAGTTCATTTCTAATACTTTTAACTTTTCTTTTACTGTTGTTTTTACCTTTCTCTTTTATCTAATTATTATTTAACAACACTTTGGTTTTAATTTGTTGTTTTTGAATGTGCTCTATTAATCAACTGACTTGACCTGAAGGCACCTCAAGGCCCCAGGACACACACTCATGTAAGTTTGTGTGTCACAAACCTCGACATCATGACATCCAGTCAGAAGTAGACACACAAACTTTGAAGTTTGTGTGTTTTCACTGACAGAGTGATTGTTTTTATGACTCCAGCATGTTTCTGAGCATTCACACTGCAGCTGGAAGATCAAGCTTCCTTTTACATTTTCTGTCTCTCAGCAGTCAGCACTGAACCCTTCCTGCTCCGGTTTTTAACCCGCAGCATGCACAGTGCACATCGTTTTTCTACATAAAGAGGTCTACAGTAGGTTAGGTTAAACAGCTTTATCATAGCAGTTAGCACAAAATAATACTAATATACACGAGTTCTCTCTTCAGGATAGGAGAGGTGATTGATTGGTTGTGACCAGCCTGTTTGTCGTCTGATTCCTGTGTTTGTGTTTGTACTTGTGCAAAATATTCGTTCTGTGCAGGTTAAGTTCTATACATGTACCAATACACCCCCAGTGGTACTGAGTGATGATTGGTCAATAATGCCAGGTGTGCAGATTGTTAAGAACAACAACAGGAACTGGGTCTGTTTGTAAAAGCCTGATGGAATTACATGGTGCTGTGTTTGTGAAGGTGATATGATGGTTTTGATGTATTTCTGTCACTTGGACAGCAGTGCAGTGCTCGTGATGGGCAGCAGGTATTAAGTTTGCTGCTGGTGTTTTGCATTTAATGGGATTTGGTGTCAATAAAGCAAGTATAGTGTAACACCTGACATATCCCCTGACATGCAGGGAACAGTGTTAGATGATACAAGAAGTGTAAAAGCACTGCGGTTTGATGCTGAGATGTAAACCAGGAGGTTTTTGCCTTCTGAGGTCAATTTAAGTGAGAGGAGACAGACACTGCAAAATGAATTGGAACCATGTGTCTTCTGTCCTGCCTACCCACCACCATTTCCTCTTCATCTTTCCTCCCTCTTCTCTGTCAGCTCTGTTCTTTTTTTCTCTCCATGTCTGCCCTCTCTCTGCCTCATTCAGCCGGTATCATGTCATCCCTTTTTGTCTCTTTGCAAAGCTAAGACAGCCTTTAAAACAGCTCAATACTTAGGGGGTCATTTCTATAAGGAGCTTTGTGTCTCTAAAACCCCCCTCCTCTTTGTATTCCTTCCCTGATGTGTCGGCAGGTGTCTCATGTGCTGAATGTGGCCTATGGAGTCAGCAACCTGTTTCCAGATCAGCTGGTCTACAAAACGCTTCAGATCCTCGACCTCCCCGACACAGAGATCACATCATATTTAGAGGAATGCAGCTCCTTCATAGATCAGGCCAGAGAAAAGGTACACTGTCTCACACACTCACACACACACACACACACACACACACACACACACACACACACACACACACACACAC